ATCACTGACAAATCACAATCACTGACAAATCACAATCACTGACATATCACAATCACTGACATATGTATCACAATCACTGACAAATCACAATCACTGACAAATCACAATCACTGACATATCACAATCACTGACATATGTATCACAATCACTGACATATCACAATCACTGACAAATCACAATCACTGACAAATCACAATCACTGACATATGTATCACAATCACTGACATATCACAATCACTGACATATCACAATCACTGACATATCACAATCACTGACATAAGACCCCCCGCCCCTCCCTCCCCTTCTCTGTCCAGATTATGGGAATGGTGTTCGCCATCTGCCTATGCCGCCGAATCAAAGACGACTTCCTCTTCGACTGACCGCTGCCGGACTCACCTTCTGCTCCCTGACTGCATCATCATGACTCGACACCACACGGAGGAAATGAGACTAGAGAGATCCCTGCAAGCATCATCATAACTCTAAACGACACTGGAGAGAAAATGAGACAAGAGAGAGACCTGATTACTTCGTCGTAACTCTACACCACACTGAAGACAAGAGAGAGACCTGATTTCATCATCATAACTCTACACCACACTGAAGACAAGAGAGAGACCTGTGTACATCATCATAACTCTACACAAGATGAAAGACAAGAGAGACCTGTGTGCACTGTGAACAATTATCTCCTATAATGGTTTGACTCTGGCTACACGGCGAGCCAGTTCCGCTGACACATGGCATTAATCTGTTGTTTGCTGACAGAAGTCTACGATTCCCTGACACATCCACAATATCTTGGCTATAATGTTTACCCACTTAACAGAAGTCTACGATTCCCTGACACATCCACAATATCTTGGCTATAATGTTTACCCACGTAACAGAAGTCTATGACTCCCCAGAAAATTCTTCTATCTATTTAATGATATAATCAGACTGTAAGTTTATTGCATGGAGCATTCATGTCTACCCAGATTGCTCTTTGTTTTAAGCAAACAGATTACATCAGGTTATGGGAGGGTCTATGGCTCTCTATAGGTGACAACAGGTTATGGGAGGGTCTATGGCTCTCTATAGGTGACAACAGGTTATGGGAGTAGAGAGATAAGGAAGTTTGTGATGCTGAGACTTTGGATGACAAAACTGGTGGCTTTGTTTAGTTTCAAAACAAAGTTTTACGAAATCTTCAACACACAACCGTGGAGGGTAACTTACAAAGAAAAGACGGAAGAAATAATAAAGATGACAGATGATTGATTGGAAAGAACCCACACTAGAACACCCGCTAACCACCCACAAATTGGCTGTGTACAATCTGGGAATCGGCTGGCCGGATACTGAGAGTCAATCCTTGGACAGTTGGGACATCTTTAGGTCCTGTCTGTCTGTTTGATCTACTGGTCAGTTGGAACATCTTTGTGTCCTGTCTGTCTGTTTGATCTACTGGACAGTTGGAAC